CGGATTTTCTGGCGGATTCCATTCTGATCCGTCAGTATCCGCTTGTATCTGTCAGCAATTCCGGAAAATCCCGGTACGCATCTGCCAAGATCCAAATTCTTTTCTGTGCGTATCCTGGCAAAATCCGAACGTATTCCGTGTGGAATATTTACTACAAGGATCCCGTTTTTCGGATTTGTACGGAATAGGTTCCGGATTGCAGTAACCGATTTTTCGGATTTTCTGGCGGATTCCATTCTGATCCGTCAGTATCCGCTTGTATCTGCGAAAAATACGGACAAATCCCGGTACGCATCTGCTAGGATCCGAGGCCATTTCGTGCAGTGCACGTTTCACATTTCAGTTGCCTTTCAGTCTCCAAAAGTTGGTTTAAGATGTCCTACTGTATACTAGTAACAACAGAGGGCTACAGGGACCATATGAAACAATGCATGAAAGACAAGTCTTGTATAACGCAGGTAGACATGAGATATACCTGCACAACAAATATTTTACCTGTACTAAACCTACGTGTGACGATGATATTTTGAGCCATGTTTTTGCAACCTGTCACTAGTTTTCCATATTGTCGACCTTTCTCATTACTAGCAAACAGGTATATCCACTTTTGGGCTTAACACATTACCTAATTGCATGTGTCTACTCTGGGGCTCTCATAGATATTTGTAAGGTCTTTTAAAAATGTCTAAAACGCCTGGGGGTATAAGAGGATACTGTAGATGTGTAAAACCACTTTGATTCATTCTTGAGTTTTACTGCATTGTATTAGTTGAAAATGGACAAACATATATAACTCTAAGCTTGCCGTGCACCAGTTTGTGTTACCTGGATGCAATGACACGCACAACCTCAAAAGAAGCGACACCTGCACCTTTACCTTTTATAACTGCCTTCACCGGGTCTGGGTGTTCAGTGTAGGTCTTGTAGATTTGTTCCGTGTGCGGCATCTTGGCGTCACTTTGAGGCAGAAACAGTGAAAAAGTACGCAGTAATTATAGGTCTGGCTTTTGTCCGTGCGTAGCCAGTTGGACTGCTTGCGTAACTGTTCTATTGTCATGTGACAGGATCGCCCTTTGTCCTGTATTCATTAGTTATTAGTAGACGTAGGATAGAATTTTGATATTGCCCTTTTAACTCTACGGTGTGCTATAGTGACAGACGTTTTCCTAGCAAGTCATTTTGTTGCAGGACCATAACTACTGCATATGGGTAAGAACATGCATGCAATAAAGATCATTCCATTATCTAAAGCTCATTTTTTATGAAAAATATAAGTATAGATACATGAGCACGTCGTTGTGGTTTATTTCGCGCAAATGTACTGGTGCATCGACGGAACTAGAGACAAAATGAACCTTTGGCTTTTTTTAGGGCAGGTGAAAAACTTCTGATGAATTTGCAACTACGTGATAACCGTGGTAGGACTTTTAAACTCCGGTGAAACATTAACCCCTGACCTCACATTGACTCCACGTAAACTGTAATGCGCATGCACATCTGGTAACAGGTTTATCATTTACCAGTGTTTAATCATGTTCATGTATGTACCTGATAAACTGCGGTGGTGAAGGTGTACATAGTACACGGACTCTGGAACTTTGCACCGGCTGTAGTTTGATATCACTCCGACAGGTGGCACTTCTAGGCATTACACCTGTTACCTGCTACATCACAGCTACTTGTATCTAGCTCACGAGTAACCGTAAGCTGCTACGGTAGCACAAAACAAGATATTTGGAAAAGTGACCAAAGTTGCCCCGGTCAAAATATGTTGATAGGTTTTATTGCGCAGCAGTTGTAGACGGTACAAAGTATGGCAAGTTTAGGCAACAAATGTTTTGTAACAATTCTAAAAAAAAACTATTTTGAACATGGCAAGAAATATTTCTACATAATCAGCAGATAACTAAGGTCACTTGTATACGTTTTAAATGGCGTTCTCTCTTTTTGAGTGACCATCTTGTTGCGACCTCTTGTGGGGATAAAATGCACTGCAGCCGCTTCTGTCAGAAAATCTAAACGAAGGCAAAATACATCCCCTGGAATCCCAAAGGACACAAAAATGACATGAACAAAAAAACAAAATGCCGGTTCGCCCTACAAACTCTAAGGCTCTTGTGTACATGACGCGTACGGGCCATTGAGAAACCAATGACAGCTCAAACATCATTGGCCATTGAAATCACGCGCTTAAAGATCATTCCCGGCTGTCCATTACAATTAGCAGACCAACCAATGACAGCATGGCGATAGGAGGCTAGGCGATCAGCGTTTCAACCAATGAGAGAGTGGCTGCATATCCGTCATTTAGATTTTATGTTTTTATTCTACATTGACTGCGATGCTCACTGCAAGATTTTTGTTAAGACGACTTTCTTGCCTCTTGAGCTCCCCTCTTTCATTGCACACGTTCACAGGTGCATTCCATCACAGGGTCAGGACCTACACTGTTTTTTCAGAGCCCTTTTGTTGATTTGTCTTTAGACTATCTAGACCGTGGCCGAACCCACGACGTGGCTTTTTCAGTTGTGCCTTACGGGCAAACATAAAGTAGGAGGGTTATGCAAATCTAACCTTTACCGGAATCAGAGGCAGTTAGGACAAGGAGGTTATGTTGGCATTGCTGTCACCAACTCTAGCCTCCTCAGCATTCTGACGAGTTGGGCATTTTTATGGCTAATAATATACTATTTTCTTATTATATGTCAGTTACCATACACGGGTTCTTGCTTACGAGATCCAACGAACAGGAAAAACTGTCTTTGTACGACGAGAACTGACATATACCAAGGCCTTGAGAACATTTTATGATAAGCAAAAAGACGGACCTAATTTGTAAGCCTGCTGAGGAGGCTAACTTACCCCGTGATCTGATTGACTTAAGACCTTGCAGCTAACTCAATGCGGTACAATGCCCAATGTTAGTCCCAACTACCTGGATATTTCGTGAAATGTTAACGCGTTGCACACATTTAGGGTTGCGACTTCAATGCTGTTCAGTAAACCACCGCTTTTTGCGGAAAGGACAAAGATTAATTACGATGTTTATGATGCCACAATTCATCGGATCGCACCCGGCTGCTGCATGCAAACATACAGAAGCTCCTTGAGTCAAGGTCTTTCAACCAAAATTTGACAAATATATAGCATGCCATTCCACGGTAACTTTACGAATGGATCACTGTGACAGGTCGTGACCTTTAGTTAGTTGTTATGTTGGTCTCATATCGTGACCTATCCTTTCAAAAGAATGCTTCCTCTTATCAGAAAGCAGTCCACCGTCAAGTCATACCCAGATCTCATTCATAACAGCACGTATTTCTAAAATAACCCGTGTAGCCCACATAAAGGGACACCGCCCACTTCGACCTATGTACCCTGAGTGTGGATACTACAGCCTACATATAAACATCATTACTGCCCTTGAACTACAGTTAACCTATAATATCCACTGTTTAAGTGACGGAGGTATCTTGGTTTTAAGAGACATAATGCACACATGTACAGGTGTGCTGTGTGACCTGGTCACGGAACCGTCGTTTGGCGACCAAAAGATGACAGACGTTTTTTTAAAGAAATTTTAAACTTCTTTGACCAATGGCAGCAAGGCAAATGTATTGCCATATATTTTACCCACCGTAAAGGTATGGGCTTAATTAGAAGGATGGGCCCCACGTAACAATATTATCATTGACCGACAATTTTTGTAAATACAAAACTATCAAAGTTACCATTGTTGCTTATCCACATTTTCAGCATTTGCGTCAGTTTACATAACTACATGTACGTGTTTAACTTCATCTTGTAATGTTCTTTGATCATGAAGAGTTTGTCATAAGTGGGTTCGTAGGTGAACTATCGGTCAGAGACAAGTGCTTTAAAGTGCCCTTAAGTTAGGGTGTGTCACAGTGACTTACAGCCTTAAAAATTACTATGTTTCATGCAATCCTGTAGAGAAAGCTGAATATAGAATCTTAACACTTGCCATAACCATTGCCATTGCTTGTAACTTTATCATGTCTAAATGTATCATATTATAAAGATATGATCTTATATTTATCTTATTCATCTATGTTTGTCAATATTATTTCACTGTGTTAAATATCGCTATGTTCGAATACTCGTCGGACAAGCCATCCCGACAGATATAAGAAACAGTCTTTTTTCCAACTGACCGTTTTAACCTTGCATATTTGCACTGTAGGTGTACGAAAGAAGTACGACAGAAAGTTAGGTTTACATACGACATAAAAACGACAGACGTACGGCCAAAAAAAAACGACAGAAAAATGACTCTATTACTAAGCCGACACTACAATCTAAGGAGGTTTTACTAGCTAAGAAGTATAACCTTCTTAGATTGTAGTGAGTATCTGTAGCTTTTAATTGGTTCTTTAGAAAGCCTGTCCCTTGTGCCTGTGAGCACGTCATACCACTGCCTCAATGGTAAATGTCAGTCCGAGCTGTGGTTTGTGTGCCGACTAGGTCTAAGCAAATATAAACAAGACGCAAATAAGAAAGTCATCGGCAGGTAGACCCAGGGTGGGTCACACGGGTACAGGTGCAAGTTGGCCCGAGGAGTACCGCTGAGACGGTTCGATCATGGGCCCGAGGAGCGGCCTTGGAGGCCTGCTAGTCTCTCTCCTTGCCGTTAGCTGTGCAGGTATGTGGCCATGAAATCTCTGCCTTACATGCTATCACTGGGACTGATCTTTGAACATAGTCATTAACCACCTTACACCTGGCAAACAGGTGCACTTGTCGTGCTGTTTTAATACGTCCCAAGGTCGAACCGTTATGGTATAATTTGAGGCATATCTCCCCATTCCTGGGCAAAAAAACGGTAGCTGAAACATGCCACAACTCCCGGGCCAGCCATCTAAATAACTTCCAATACGGTGTCTATAGCAACATTGTAAAACTACATGGTCGTCTGTGGTTGTCAGGGAGTACTGGTGTTCTTTGACTCGATCGGACGCCTTCGTCTACCAAACATTCACTAAACTGAATACCCTTTGCACTGATTTCCCCAAGTGTCTAACTGTTACTATGACCAAGTTGAAGTATGGCTTTTTTTCATAGCCTGATGCGAAAAGAATGTTCTTTGTTCTGTGTCTGCCCTTTCGTGCTGCGCTGCCCCGCCAGACTATTGATAAATACCCCAGACATAAATCACGAAGGTTAACAGGTGGTCGGGCAGGCGGCCTTTCGACCGGAGGCGGCAGGAAATGGCGCCTTTTCCCGCGTCGCAGACGTTCGAACATCCGCGGAGGCGTTTGTGCTAACACCTACACACGAACAATACTAACAATGCACTGGAATCTAAAACAGCGCGATATATATTTATGACCATAGACTAGGCAGTTAATAAAGCACGTAAGCTGCCTGCTAGAGGTGTTAGTTAAGGTTTTTTTAACCCACCCAATATATTGCGTATAGGCTGTTTGCGTTCTTGTTTATTCTGTCTCTTGCTATGTCAACTTACGTGGTTTGACTAGCAAAGGTATGCTTTGACATGCTTCCACAGACTGGGCTTTACTTGTTTTGGGGAGTTTCTGTGGATCCACTTTGTCGTGTGGATATTTTTCGACAATAAAGGCATGTACGTGATTTCTTCATGACAAAAAAAGGCCTGATGACGTTTCTAGCTATTGGCAAATATAACCTTTGCTGCAGACAAGGTTCTGTGTACTGTATTGGCAATACAAAACACAGAATCTTGTCCACAGTAATGTGCAGGTATACGGGGTTTGGTTCAAACTTATTGTGTGTGTATCACTTTCAGACATAATGTATTACCTGTTGCTTAATCTCTCACATAATAATTGAATACACATATGTATATAGACTGTTTAGGTGACCACAAATATAATCATCTCTGAAGAGACTCAGGAAAAAGTTGAATTGACTATTGCTATCTCTGTAGTGCAGCTGTGTCAACAGTTTGCTGTTGAGTTAACAACTCTGTGCAATCGGAGTGCTTGTTCTTGGCGCTTTTAATTAAGCGACTGAGCAGACAACACTGTCCCGCCAAGTACCAAGTGATGAACATCCGGTAACATAGTAAGAACAGTCGTTTGATAGAGGGAATGTCGTTTGATAGAGAGAATGCCGTTTGACAGAGTATCTAAAGTATCCGTAAAGTTTCCGTAAAAGTACAGTCGACTGAAAAACTAAAAGTAAGAGCGTCTTCACGTATTCTGTAAGGTACGCTTAAAACATCGGACAGGATTGCATACTAATATCATTAAGGTACAGTATAACAACGTCGGATTTCACATTTGACTGAAATAATGGAGTCTTTACGTATTTTTAGGTATGCTTAAAACATAAGATATCTTGCAGCTTAGAGTAGGTGGGACAAATATCAGGGTACGGGACAGGGATGCATACTCATATCGTTACGGAACAGTAACAACGTCGCATTTCACATTTTACGGAAATAATGGAGCCTTTACGCATACTGAAAGGCATGCTTAAATACCGGATTTCTTGCAGCTTTGTGTAGGTGGGACAAATATATGAGGATAAGGTCACGGGACGAGGATACATACTGCTATCGTTACGGTACAGTAACAACCGTGGATTTCACATGTGATCTTTACTCCTGTGGGGGCGTACGCGGTTCCGTTTATTGGCCTACACGGCGGTCCACATGCTAGTAAAAAATACGTATACTATGCAACTACATAGTATTCGTTGAAAATGAACGTAAGTTGGTCGGTCTTTTCTGTATCTGTATCTATAGCTGATATAAACCACCATTCTGCACAATACACCAGCTTCGCAGGCACGCGGCGCGGCGGCAGCTGGCTATTTATCATATTTACACCTAGCCTTTGCAAGCGTTGTTTTAAGCTGTTGTTTTAAGCGTTGTTTTAAGCTGTATATAGGAAGAGACGAACACCTCAATCGTTTCGGTGACCGTCTGTCCCCTTCTTCAGGGCAGCAATGACTGTTCTGATTCGTACTGCAGCTAGGTGTCGCTGCTGCAAAGTTAGAATTGCGGTACCAATCATAGAGTGTTGTAACATAATATATACACATTGTGAAGTCTGTATGGTACTCTTGCAGTTGTTTCCGGGGACCCCTGTGTTCCGAACCCCTGCGACCCCGATAACGGCCACTGCAGACAGGTTGGCTGGGACTACAGATGTGTGTGCCGGCCAGGATTCCGGCTCATGCCCGACGGCTTGTCCTGTTTCCCCGACTCCCGTACGTCATACAGTTTACTTCGTCTTTCAATGGTCTTACTTGTTTGAACTTTGCACTTATCCCCTTTTCTGTATTCCATGGAACATACCTTTTTTTAAAGACATAAGATATACATGTAAGCTTGCTCTAAGAAGCTTGCTCTTAAGGATGGGGCAGTAAATTGCTCGTCTTCGGATTACTGTCTCTCGTCCCATCTTATCTAGTCTAACTATTTGACCATTAGAGCACCACAGAAGATCTAACAACCATGGCCAGTTTTCTGCACGCTTCTTGGTTCTTGGTTTCACTTAGTGTTATTCTAGTCCATTCTCTGATGTTATCCTCGAGGCTCCTATCTTTTCCGTCAATGGTTTTGGCCATATATAATTTGCCCCGATGATTCTAAAACATTAAATGCCATTTTAATTGTTATGAAAACATACCAATTAAATCTTGATCCCTTCCCCGGTATTTATCTTTGAAACCTGTCCTTCATATAGTTTTCTTGGTTGTTCCTTAGCCAGAAAAACACTGAGTGAAGAAGTTGTCCATAATCTATTTTCACAGTTACTGGCAGTAATCCATGTGCTCCAAACCCCTGCGACCCAACCCACGGCCAGTGTGTCCAGGAGGCGGGTAACTACAGATGTATCTGTAGGCGGGATTATCAGTTGATGTCGGACGGTCGGACATGTGCTCCACTCACTCTCGAGCTATCTCAACGTACGTGATAGAATTTTCTCTGCACGGCTGTCTTTGATAGCACAGCACAACAATATGTCGGTATTCTAGTCACCAACCACCACCCTCTCATGCCAATTGTTCACTAAATACATAGAGCACATCGTCATCTCAATGCACGTTGACAAGTTACCTTCAGTGTATTTTACACACTGGACATAAGCACAGCATTGCAATATGTCGGTATGATATTCACCAACCACCACCCCTTCATTTCAAGTTCTGGTACCCTATCAGCAACAGCAAAGCGTGATGCAGTACTGTTCATGTATGTCTCATATTTACAGCTGTTTTAGCTGAAGAGGACCACGATCATGACCATGACCATGACCGTGACCATGGTCACGACCCCTGTTCGCCAAACCCCTGTGACCCAGCTAACGGACAGTGTGTAGAAGAACGAGGGACCTACAGATGTATCTGTAGACCGGGGTTTCAGTTGATGTCGGACGGCCGGACGTGTACCCCAGTCTCTCGTAGGTTTTCTCTCCACGGCTCTCTGACATTCCCTCTTTCAACTGCCTGGTTAAAACCAGTTGGTGGATGTTTTTTTTTTCAACTGTATCCTGAGAGCTCACACTGTACACTATATTCCTACCTACATGTATCTTACCATACCTTTGAGTAAAGTGAACTTCACATTTCAGGTGAAATGTTTCCAGGAATATCTGCACCGCTGTCACTAGAAGTTCACTGCACATTGAGTTCACACACTGAAATATCGGAACCACTGCACTACGATATACATGTATAGGTATCGCCCCCACCTTCACCACCACAATCCACAATATAGTAAGAGTAGGTACATAGTGACATTCCAGTATTGTATTATGTGTCCAATATCTGCAGCTGTTGTGGACGGCCATGACCATGGCCATGACCAAGGACACGACCCCTGTTCTCCAAACCCCTGTGACCCAGCTAACGGCCAGTGTGTAGAAGAAGGAGACAACTACAGATGTATCTGTAGACGGGGGTATCGTCTGGAGTCGGACGGTCGGACGTGTGCTCCAGAAGCCCGTAGGTTTTATCTTAACGACTGTCTTTTTATTTCCTGAAGCCGGCCGGATTTTGAGATCTTTGACCTCTTGTTTTGCCTGTCAATCTTCTCCCTATCCATGTGCTGTCAAACTACTGTATCCGGAAAGACAGATACATAAACCCACAGCTCAACCACCCATAACTTCAACCTTAACTGCTCACCTGTTAAGTTCGCGAGTTAGGTTCGTACACGTGCACTTTCTGCCTCTCAGCCTGTGACATTTCTGTCCTAAGTCCGTTGAAGTATGACAAACCATCTCTTAATTCACAAAAGAAGCTTCCCGGAGGATTAAAATTCCTATTTCTTCTTCAATCATCAATCCCTCTTACAGTTGTTCCTAGCACCCCGTGTTCTCCAAACCCCTGCGATCCACATTATGGCCGATGTGTCGAAGACGGGAGGAACTACCGCTGCGTCTGTAACCCAGGCTTCGAGTTGATGCCGGACGGCCGGAGGTGCATCGGGGTTGGCCGTATGTCGTTCTGTTTTCTTACGAGACTTCCGCTTTCTGACGAGACTTCCGTTTTCTCATGAAACTTCCGTTTTCTGACGAGAATTCCGTTTTCTGACGAGAATTCCGTTTTCTCAAGAGAAGCTTGTGCACTTTATTTTCTTGTGTACTATTCACACTGTGTTCTGGTTGGAGTGATCAAATGTTGTTATCACAAAGTGATTGCATTGCAGTTTACGCACTGAAGCACAGAACCAGAGTATGTAGATTTTGCACCCACCAGAATATCCTTCCACGCCTATTTCTGGCACTGTACTGTATAATAGTATCAAGATGCTGTATTTCCTGCCCTGATTACATATTATGCATATTTACAGCTGTTGTGGACGGCCATGACGGACACGACCCCTGTTCACCAAACCCATGTGACCCAGTTAACGGCCAGTGTGTAGAAGAGGGAGACAACTACAGATGTATCTGTAGACGGGGGTATCTTCTGGAGTCGGACGGTCGGACGTGTACTCGAGTTCCAGTCGCCCGTACGTTTCACTAGTTTTTCCACAGACTGTATTCTTTTGCGTATTCCTGGTGTGCTTCTTCATCTATCACTCAATCGTGCAATACATACAGTCAGGGGATTGTGTAAATGCTTGAAGAATAGGCCTAAGTCTAAGACATGAAGAACTTTCGTTAGGTCTCGGTCACATACGTCGTACGATTTTCGTACGATCGCAGACAGTCGTGTAGATGACGTACAACATTCATCAGTCAAGTCTCAATCGAAAAAATGCTGTGCTTAAATTCCTGTCGGAGGTTGGTTCTGTCACTACTTGCTTGAAAACACTACGCCATCAAAATCGTACGAACGTCCTGCGACGAATGTGACCGCGTCGTATAATGACCAAGATGTTACAGTCGTCCTGTGTTTGCCAGCTCCTCCTGCCGACGACCCCTGCTCTCCCGACCCTTGCCGACCCGTCCAACGGTCTATGTCGCAGAGAAGGAGACAACTACAGGTGCACCTGTAGGCCGGGGTACCTGTTGATGTCGGACGGGAGGAGATGTGCTCCCATCGCTCGTATGTGGTCTTTCTTTTCACGGCACTTGTTCCTTCATTCCTGGCGCACATTCGAATTTCTTCATATTTAAACCACCCTGTTATCTGAGCTTTGGCACTTCTACTGTGTAAAGCCTGATACCCACGCACGGGCCGTGTCCTGGTCCTGGTCCTAGTTGCTAAGTGTGGGGTGTACAGAAAGTGCGAAAAAACTAGTTAGTCAAAACAGCGAAAAGGAACGAAACGAAAAGTGTGTCGTACTTTTTCAGCTCCCGCCTCCGACCCCTGTTCTCCAAACCCCTGCGACCCCGCTAACGGCCAGTGTATAGAAGAAGGAGACAACTACAGATGTGTGTGTAGACCGGGGTACCGGTTGATGTCAGACGGTCGGACATGCACCCCTCTTGGCCGTACGTACCTCCGTTTTCTCTCCACGACTCCCCCTTTCTTATCCTCTACGTACAGTTCTTTTACGACAGTTGTTTGGACTTGTCTTGAGTGTTTGCTTGGCTTTCATATACTGTCAACCACCTGCAAAGGTGATACACAAGAAATGAAAGACAACTGACTGTATAGAAAAATTCCAAACGTTCGCTCGTACTTTTTCAGCGATTCCTATATCCATCGACCCCTGTTTGCCAAACCCCTGTGACCCAGCTAACGGCCAGTGTGTAGAAGAGGGAGGGACTTACAGATGTATCTGTAGACGGGGGTATCGTCTGGAGCCGGACGGTCGGACGTGTACTCGAGTTCCAGTCGCCCGTACGTTTTCTCATTAGTTTTTCCACAGACTGTATTCTTTTGCGTATTCCTGGTGTGCATAGCAGGGTGTTGTTGCTTGAACTTGACTCTCATGCCACTGTGTATTCAGGGAGAGTGGCGTGTCTTCACATCTCACAGAGTATTTTTGCTAAATTTACACGTTTAAAAGTAACTTCACATACATGTACATGTTTCACCTGTGCAACTGAAGGGTATGTACGCATTACTGTCATGTATGCTTTTATCTCAGTAATTTGGCCTCTTACTTATGTCGAGTTGTGTGTACATATTTCATAAGAGTACTGTTGCTACTCGTACATTTATATACACGTTTGAAAGTAACTTTCGTACACGTACATACATAAACTTTCTCCTGTCTAAAAGCCTTCGGGCATGACCTTCCAAGTAACGAATCTGCGTATTGTTACAACACACATGTAACAGGAGTTTTACCTGTCTAACTATGGTGAGGTGTGTATTATTCACCACTTTCTGTCGTTCCCTACTGTATCGAACTTTTCAGCTGTGGCTACAGACGACGATCTGTGTTCCCCGTACCCGTGCGACCCGGACTACGGTACATGTGTCCAACAGGGAGACAGGTACAGGTGCGGCTGTAGAGCGGGGTTCCAACTGGCGTCAGACAACACAACGTGTAGCCCTGTCGGCGTTCTCGGCCGTACGTGATCCCAAAACACTCGGTCCTGCACCCATTCATTCATTCATTCATTCATTCATTCATTCATTCATTCATTCATTCATTCTTTCTTTCCGATTCATTCATTCATTCATTAACTCACTCACTCACAATCACTCACTCACTCATTTTGGGAGATTGGAGAGTTCACACACATCTCACATCTCACAATGCCTGTATCACAAAGCAGTACACGCTCAAAAGATAGTTTTAAACCCACTCCTCACTTCCTTCCACAGGCAAAGATGTCACCATTGATCATGACACATCATTATTGCATGCACAGTGTTGTTCACTCACGAAATTGGTTATCTAACTTCAAGCATTCTAAACTTCATAATGAGAAATAAACTGTTCTCAAAGTCCAAAGAAAATTTGACTCACCGGAATTTCCGACCGAATCTCTCGGATTTTCATGAGCTAACTGACTCAAGTGCCGTAGACACTGGATTTTTCTTTTTGTGTGACGTCAGGACTGGGTCAGGGTTCATCGGAAGTCTGTACCGCACCCCGCCTCGGTTGAGTGAAGGTTTAACCTTCGTGCTAATTCTTAACTTCAGATGCGGGTGTAACAGGGCTTCCCTGTGTATCTGTGCAAATAAAAATAAGGTGTATAATATGCAACCAATCTGTTACAAAGTTTCTTTACCCTTTTCAGCTGCTCTTATCAACGACCCCTGCTCTCCAAGCCCCTGTGACCAAACTAACGGTCTATGTGTGGATGAGGGAGGGTACCACAGATGTATCTGTAGACCGGGCTTTCAGCTATTGTCGGACGGCCGGACATGTGTCCCTATCGCCCGTATGTGACTCCGATTTCTATCCAAAGCACGTATTACATCGCTGGCGCACTTTGTTCCACAGTATCAGGAACTCTTTCGAAGATCTCACCTTATTTTAATTCCCCTCAATTTCCATCGTCTGCGCGTGGGCATGCATATGGCACTACAGCAACCCAGTTGCCCGGTAATCATATCATCGTGGGCTCCCTGGTATCTCTGCGGTGTTGGAAGTGTTGCCCACCCACACGTGCCCATTAGCGCACTCCTGGGTTTTTACCATAATTCAATTAGTTTTCTGGACACCTGTAGTCGGATAGGCGGCCGTGTGGCTGTAGTATACACTGTATAGTGTACAATATGATGTCAACAGATATGAAGCATCATCATTGTTGACGTAATATAACGATGTATATTCAGGCACAGGAGACTAAGTATGAGACTGGTACTGGTCATGTTACGGTGAAGAATCAGAAACATGTGTTTTACATATTGTTCAAAATTCGAAATGCTACAGATATCCCCATTTGCAAATATCTCATTAGTCCCTGGGGGCTCATTGAGTATCCGTTTAAAGAACAATATTTAGAAACAACACTCTGAACTGTGTTGTATAAACATTCAGATGTTTGCAAATCTAGCAGACAGATGTCAACAATCCAAATATTACAACAACGGCTTTCGTTAGAGGTCATCTAGGTGTATTCTTTTTAAGTACGCCAATACATGTATATTTGTTCTCATTCAATGTTCATAAAAAACCAAATAAGCACAATGTACTGCACAAAATTCAACCGCTATAATAAGACAGATTTATTATCATAAAGATATTGTGTATCACTTTTTGCGTGGGTTTTTACACTCATGATACATAATTTTCTCCACAGTATCACAGCCTGACCCTCCCCGGAGAGGTGACCAAGGGGAGGTTGATATCAACAATGTAAGTAGACATGTGTTGTAGTATAGCTACTAAATGGCACTTCACCATTTATAATGAAATGTAGAGAGTCAAAATTCTTTTACTATCATCTTTAGTATCTCTATAGGGCTTTTACTCCATCTTTAGTATACACGAAGTACAAGTACTTTCGCATTGTCCACACAGACCATCCAATATCTCTGCATCTCTCTTTCTCTTAACAAGTCACTAAAGGAGACCTGGTGTTGACACTTGTGTCTCGTCCCATTGCTTATATCATGTAGTTGTTGGCATAAGAGCTGACTTTTGAAATCCTGTCTATTAGGGAAATGACTGTGGAGATTATAGCTGCTGTGGTTCCCAATGTGTTGGACAGCCTGGGCCCAGGGTAAGTAAATCTGTACTGGTATTAATACATGTAATTAACATCTTTACTATGCGCTAGACAGACGTCTGTGATTGGCCAGTTTGAGGAAGATCTTTACCATGGGTTAGAAGGAGATCTGTGATTGGCCAGTTTCAGGAATTTCTTTACTTAAGGCTAGATAGAGGTCTGTTATTGGTCAGTTTTAGTCTCGAAATTTTACACACAAACCACAGAATGTTGATGTTGTCTCTATGTTCCTACAGATCTGGGAACTTATTTTCCATTGCACCTCAAAACTTTAACTTAATCCTAAGCGCCAGGTACAAATTGGGATGTCAAAAGCTGTCAAAAGAGCTAAACTATTGCTATTATTGCCAGTTTAATATCTCATTACACCTATCAGGCTATGTACAGGACCAACGTCTCGCTTCTGAAGACAGTTGTACACTAAAAATGCAGTTCTTTAGTAGGACCATGAGGTAGCAGAGACTAAGTAGAAATGTCAACAAAGACGCATGCAAGGTCAGGCAATGTTTGCAGTGGCAGACATTTGTCCTCGGAGATCAAAGGGCCATTGTCCCTGTATCACTCTGTAATTATTTGCAGACCATGTTTAGAATCTTGCCAATCCCTTGAATGTCACACACGTCCCTCCTTGGCAAAATAAAGTGATGCTATACCAGTACTGGAGCTGCGAGTGATGGATAGTGTTGTGTGTTTCCTTTTCACCTGTCATTATAGCACTGTAACCACCTTCGCAAAACTTCTATTGTACGTTGTACTTAAATCTGGACTTAACATGTTTTCTACTTGGATTTGAGCTCGGTTTTTACTAATAAATGAACTGTACAACACTGGTTTGTGCAGTTAAGTCATTATAGTCTTTTGAGACCATCTCAGAAAGAGAGAATCAGAGAGAGATGTAGCAACCAAATCAATTGGAAGTAGTAAACTACCTGCAATAAATTAACATTAAGGGTAATCATCTACAACAGCTTTGATTGTTGGGGAAATCCGCAATGGCCATAAACTACGAGCTTGACTTTGTTTGTGGCCAGTTTAATAATTTACACCACATTCATGGTTATCAGTAAAGTGACATGATTTAAAATGCTTTTCCGTTTGAAACATTCGAGGGGAATTAAGTGTAGACTCACTGTCTGGCCTGTCAAAACCAAATGGGTACAAGGAGGAAGGTATATAAATACTTTAAACTTTCTAGCAAAGAAAGGGAGAGAGATAAGAATTGACAGTGGCTGGCAAAAACCGAATATAACCACAGAAAACACTATGTAAGATAACTAAAGACAACCTTTAAAGTACAATCTTAGAAAAAATACTGTGATCTTAGAAATGTATTTACATGTTGAAACATGTAAATAACCAATACAATTTTGCAACAAGATTGACTTTCTTGTTTCAGTTCAACATTGTCTGATGTTGCTAAACTTGTTGTAGACTGGTTGCCACCGAAATTTACTTGGATACATTACACACAAAAAATAGTTGCTTTATCTCATGACTGACAAGTGACAAATTCTAAATATTTGCAATTCTCATACCTCTTGCTCCCCACCTAGGATTGTTTGAGGACTGATAACTTGTGTCAACCTGATAACATGATGTATTGCATGCCAGGGTCATCCGGGGTCACGGGGTCCTCAAGGGTTCCCTGGACCAGAGGGTGTGCAAGGGGAAACTGGAGCTCCAGGTTTACGAGGCTCTCCAGGGGACCAAGGAGCAAAGGGAACAGCTGTAAGTATATTCTGTCACCAACATTTTCCTATTACTTCAGGGTTTTTGTATCTGTTTGTCGGACAGAGTAGGTTGACAGCATGTGGTTGGTCAAGATTGACAGGCTGAATGACAGGATGTCAAAGGTTTCAGAATCTGGCCGGAAGCCAGCAAAAACTTGAGGTTAATGTGGGGGAATTCAGAAAATATCTGTTTTCCTATTGTAATGGCAATATTAGATGAACACTGTGGGATGAATAGCAAAAACAAGAACTTGCTTTATAATAGAAGATGCTTACTATTTTGCTAAGACTTTGAAATTCCTAATTCATCTTTTAGTTAGTATTCTGCAAAATGATGAAATTTGTATATCAACTGTCATTTCCCATCTGCAGGGTGATCCTGGACCCAGGGGACCACAGGTCAGTAACACGTGTCTCTTTCTTTAATACCAAGTCTTAAATTACTATACTTATTACAAAATAATAAATTCTGTATTAGATGTGACTTCAGAAAAACAGTCACAGTTGCCCGGCAGTTTGTAACCATGTCATTTCTATTATTGAACACAGCCAGACTGGCCTTAATGGATATCAATCTATTTACAAAAGTCTTTCGCTGCATCAAATAAGTCAAAGGACCGTTAAAAATCTACTTCTTAATTAACCAATCCAGATGTGCTTTCATGCTTTTTCATTGGCAGGGAGTTGTAGGACCTGCTGGTCCTGCCGGCCCCCGCGGTATCCAGGGAGACAAGGGTGGTAAAGGAACGGCAGGGGCACGTGGACTGACTGGGGAGAAGGGGCTGAGGGTGGGTGGAACCTGCTCGTACATGTCTTAAGACTTTTTCTGTTAACTTTCTTCAAGATGTTGTTGTTATGGCTATTCAAATACATCTTTTTATTTTATTTTTTTTTATTTTTATGACGATTTACCACATTTGTGGAAGGATTGACATAACAGGTGACTATCACCTCTTCAAAGATGTCAAACCTGAGACCAGACTGTAAGGCTTGAACCACTCACACCGGGAAGGTCCCCTACTCTTTTCGATAAGTGCGGTGGGTTCTTTAACGTGCGTGGGGTGTGGCTCTCCCAAACACGGGACCTCCATTTAACGTCCTATCCGAGGGACGTCCCTAGCCGAAGCTAGGTACTCATTTACACCTGAGTGAAGTGAGGAAAGTCGTGTAAAGTGCCTTTCCCAAGGGCACAAGATCGATGACATGGGCAGGGTTCGAACCCACAACCTCTGGGGTGTGAGCCGAACGCGCTACCGACTGCGCCACACGACCCCACTTGTCAGCATCCACTGTCAGCAAAAGATGTAATTTTGAATTTAAAGTTTTGCTTGTTTGTTTTCTTATTATGTTTATGTTGATTTAAAGGTTTGCTTGTTTGTTTCCTTGTCTTATGTAGGGTTCACAAGGCCTCCCTGGAATGACTGGCGAACCTGTATGTCATGATCTTTGAATTTGAATGTTATCGTTTGTGTCATACTAAACTCTAAATCATTAGCATTGTTTAGTAATGATCATGATATTCAGCACTGTGAATATTATATCAGGGCGGTTGTTGCAGGAACACTGTTTTCAAATTTTTGTAATAGTAACACATTTTGCATTTTTTTGGCCTTACTTAAAAACAGTGTATATTTCCAGGGGTTGCCAGGAAATGCAGGCCCTATGGGAATGCCAGGATTATGTGTAAGTACACATTATATTTCAGGGGTCAATATTACACCCCAAGGAAGTGAAGTATTGTTTTTGGCTTGTATGTCTGTGGGTCTGTCATATCTTAAATTAACGCTAAATCATAAGGTTTTTAAATCAAAAACATTTTCATCAGTGATTTACTTTTTTTCCTTACAGGGTCCAAAAGGAGATCCAGGTACATATTTTGGATGCTTTTGACAACATAGTAACAACAGAAAAATGTCCTCTTTGTCAGTACCATGATTTGGTTTGCAGCATTTAACTCAGAATTCATTGGCATCTAGAGTTAAATAATCATTATTAAAGCTATAAACTTTTCTCAACATTGTGTTTGTAATGCACAGGGTTACCGGGCCCTCCTGGAACTGGAACTGCATGTAAGTATCACAGACCTTATTTTGTGACTTGATCATCGTCATTATAGATTTTTCCTCAAATCTTATAATCATTCATTTTTAATTGAGATTCCCAATTGGTTTAATATTGATTCATCACACAAACTTGCATCTACGACATATTTCAAGAAGAGGTGATGCCAGATAAAATGCTTGTAAGTGATCTTTTCTATAGCTAAGGTGTCCAGGTGCTCTTCAAAAAAGGCTCCACTGTCCTTTCTTAACCAATGATTGTTGCTTGCTTACCAACTCATCAATCACTTTTATTAGCAGTTACCCAGGTGACTTTAAAAGCTGCGACAAGCTTTAATTAAGTTTTAAAAGGCACGTCGCGGCTTTTGCCAATATTGGTCTTCCTGAATTTCTTAAGTCCAGGCGTGACATGGCTAGATGTCACAAAGGGGTTAAGCTACTTAGTTGCCTTGCCATTAATGCACCTTTTCACAATTCACTTCTTAAGGCTCAAGGTCATGACTTGTATTGAAGTATTGAATGTTTTCTGGTGTTTGTCCACTCAGCTGAAGGCCCACCAGGCCCATCCGGCCCCCCTGGGTTCCCTGGTCCTGCTGGCCCGAGGGGTCCTCCTGGGATCCCTGGTGATGCCGTCTATGGGACTAAGGGAGAACCAGGTCTGCCTGGGGCACCTGGGGTGAGAGGTGGGACAACTCAACACTGCCTTTCTTTTGTTGCTATAGTAACGTTATTTGTTCTAAATACTGCAAAGAAACCATAACAAATATGGGAACGCACAAGTATGATTTCTTTGATTGCAAGAAAGCCGAATATGATAAAATCATTATCGTCAACATTATACAGTCAGATATTGAAACCATCATGTTACAACTTTCTATGCCATCTGTTAGAAAAATAATAAATTATAAATGCCTCTCAGTTGTTATCTACTTGTATTTATCATCATCATACATTGTATTTATTCATCATCACTTGTGTCAAACTGTAACTTACAATACATTGTATCTGTGACTTATTGAAGTCTCTTATATTTCAGGTCCCCCAGGTGGACCAGGTGGACCGGGTGGACCAGGTATGTATATCATTAGCTTCTACATATTAATGTCTGCTGATTCTGGCCCATTGCTTTGTTTAGAAATTGTACCTACAGTATCTATGGAAGGAGTTATTGAAAAATTTATAAATCTCACTATAGGCGTTAGCACTGTATTACGCTGATTTAGGAATTGTCATTGTTTGCATTTGTTCAGATTACATTGTATTTCTGTAAGATATAAGTAAGCAAACTTATTATTGAATTTCTATACTTGCAGGAAGAGATGGAATACCAGGTTCCCCAGGACCTAAAGGTGACAATATTGTTAATGTTACTATATTACTCCTTTTTATAACAGAATGCCTGATTTGAAGGAAGTCAAGTTTCAAAGTAGTTACCATTAACTTTTGAATGATATTTTTAGGTGAACTTGGAGTCCCAGGATTTCCAGGTCCAGCAGGTAAGAAGGCTGAATTCTTTCATTCATCAATATAATAGTGATCAATGTTTTAAAGGTTTTTTAATAATGACATCTAATATCTGCAATAGGTACTCACACATCTCTTGTACTGACAAAATTCTTTCAGGTTCACCAGGAGACAGGGGAGACCCGGGATTTCCAGGTCCAAAAGGTGAGCCATAGATTAAATTTTGAATTTTAAATTACAGATATCATTCAACGAGTGGGCTGATCTCTTTTTTTATCATCCTTTTATAGATTCAGCTGCCTAAAAATCTGTTGTCCATCCATTTTCTGAAGATTTGTACTACTAAATGTATATCAGAGATGCTTGACACTTACACTTTGGAAAACAACTGTACAGCAATGCCCTTGCCAAAGTTGTCAGTTGTGCGGCTGTAATGCCGCATTACGTGGTCATTATCAGATCACTTCTGGGGTTACCCCGGCATTAAACTAGCTCCCACTGAACATTGGGAGTAATGCTAGATTGATGCCATGACCATTAATCATCATTAATCATCTGGGCCTTTTGGAGTGGGGCAGAAGCTGTTGCCTGATGTGATCTCCACCCCTGACAGCCTGCCCGACAGCTTGCCAGTGGGGATGGTCACACCAAATTAATCCTGTGCTCTTTGAAAACATATGTGCCTTCTAGGAGGTGAAACATAATCTGTTTTCTTTGAGCTGAAACACAGCATCATACATATCTCCAAGTTTGGCTTGTTTTGACCAAGCTACAGGAGTCTTTTCTTTTCTTTGAATGTCTTTTAACCACTAAATCAAAAGGTCCAGGACCTGTTGGCCTGGGCTGATAGTGACTGCATTTGTATACATACAGGGTCTCCTACATGTGCTATGGGGAGTTGCAAAGGATGGTCTGATCTATCATGTGACCATGTATGGGAACATTCTGCTCCCCCCAGAGGTCATGTGACCTATGGGGGGAGCAGAATGCTCTAAGCTGTCTTGGTCCTACATTGTGTTCTCTCTCTCCACTTCTTGTTAGACATTTGCTACCAGGCACCACATTTTTACCAAATGTCTTGAAATTTTAACAGAGCTTGGGAATATATCACAGGTATTCTTGGTTTAATTTTTTGGATGCAGGCCCTAAAATAATTCAATGTAGCTTTTTTGTAAAAAAAATAGTCCCAAAAAGTATATTGTAACTTATTTGCTCCTGTGTCTTCATATTAGGTCAAATAAAGGACCTGAAATTTGGTATGAGGATAGTGGTTCATGTACGGTGTTGGTGGTTGAAGTATAATGACAAGAAGTCCTAAATGCAACTTCATGTATGTTCTTTTAGGTTGGAATTGCAACAGAATTTCTGAAAATATACCCTGTGTAAAAGGGGGACAAACTTCAGACTGTTTCAGGCCAGGCAGGTTATAGACTGAATTAGGTCAGTCTGGCCTGCTCAGAGGCGGTGGGACGTCAGTTGCTGACACAGGATGTTCTAAATGGTTGAGGATTGTGCTTACTTGAGCCTGGTGCTAATGTAAGGGTCAACCATAACCGAAGACTGTGACAGAGGGCATTAATGCAGGGGAAAGGCAAACTAATTGGTTCAAGGCACTGCAAGAGTTGACAGTGGAGGGAGGTGCCTTGGACAGTCATAATCTACTGTGAAATTAGGCACTATACTGGCTGTAATGCAGGATGAATGTTTCAGGGAGTAATGCTGCATAGCAGACCACTTTGGCAAGGGAGCCTGATGTTTGAAAACAATATTTTTGTTCTAGGTGATTCAGGCACTGCAGTTGGTGTACCTGGGCCACCTGGCCGACCTGGGCCACAAGGACCGTTAGGACCCCCAGGTAGGAAACAACGTTGTCACTTGAAAATCTCAGCCGTTTATTTTCAAGTGTCACATGCTGGAAATTGTCTTTGCCCCTTGTGGAGGACAATCTTGTAATTTCTCAAGCTCTCAAGTTGTACAAGAGCCTTAATTTTTCTTTGACGACGATGTGACATACCATTCATTTTAACTGGATGTTAACTTACCTTTTTTTTTTACTATTTGTATACTCATTATTCATCCAATATGACGATATTTATCCATTGTTCATTCAACAGGTTTTTCTGGACCAAAAGGGGAATTTGGCCCACCAGGACCACCCGGTAAGACTGTAACAAGATCTTTGAATCATTTCTGCAAAACCTGTTGTTTTGTTGTAAACGTTGATTTTCCTTCAGCAGTAATGACATTGACATGCCTGTGTTGTTTTAGGTGCACCTGGCCCACAGGGAAGTGGTTTCCCTGGCCCTCCTGGACCCCCAGGACCTGAAGGTAAGTATCCACAAGGAATACTCTGTGTTAGACCTGCACTTCCCTTACCAATCTATAATTGTAGACTTGGAACAAAACTGACCTGAAACTCATAGGGCAATGGTAGTGAAACCCAGACTGTGGTGTTCGTCCATCGTACCCAATGAGTTACCCTAACTTCAGTTTGCTTCAGTTGCTCTTGTGAGTGTGGCTGACGAGTCCAATTCTTGCCCGGACTTCCGGAGTAAAGAACTGAGCAGATATCATTCTGTTAACCTATTCAACCTTCCACCTTGTTTCTGGCAGACAGGCTAGAAAAGAGCCATCAATCAAGCTAACTATTAAAAGTTGGACTTTTTCGTCAGTAATACTTACTTCAACAACCTTCTGTCAGTTAACCTATTCTGGCAGTTAATCTAAACTTTTGAAACACCTGTATTCTCAATTATAGAATCTCTTAATTGACACTTTTGCTATTTTGCTATCAGGTTCCCGAGGGCCCCCAGGTGGTCCAGGGTTTCCAGGTAAGAAAAAAATTTAGTGTTCTTTGCCTCTGAATCTTGGAACAAACACATCTCTGAAAGTGTATACTAAATGTATCTAGTAAACTTTATGATGGTACGAGGGACAACTTTCCATTTGGTATCTATATATGAACATCATTTGAATTCACCAATTAATCCTGCGGGGCCCATATATATATGGGTTGTACATACAGTACCATCTATATAGTGCCCTGTATATGTGCAATTGGGGGTGTTTCTCGTGCAACGCATCACACCGCAGCGAAACGCAACGAATGCGGAAGTAACTACGCCACCGCAGGGCAAAAAAAGTCAAGGGTCTGTAACCTGATTAAGACATGAAATTATTTGAAAATATTGTGTAAAAATTGCCAGCAGGACAAGGGTTAAAAATAACAGACATTGGGTATTCTGTGTTGTATTATGTGAAGATTTGCTTTATAGTAATCTTTATTGTAATATCTAAAATCTTGGTGTTTCAGGCCCAAAGGGAGAGGCTGGTATAGGGTTCCCAGGACCATCCGGCTTCCCAGGTAATATCTGTTTATTCATATGCATCACTTTGGTACAAAGAAATGTTTATGGTTTTATATAACAGACATGTATATTGTTACAATTGAAGTTAAACAAGTAAGTATTGTGCTGGTCTTTACAGTTCAAACTTGTTTCATAAAATAAGTATATTTGTGACTTCTGTCTCTTAGGCCCCCAGGGAGATCGAGGACCACCAGGACCATCAGGATCAGACGGTAATAATTAGTTACTTTCAGGTACAGAAGTATTGTTTTGGGTGGCTGAGTTGTGAGTTTGTGTCAATGCTTGTCCTTACAGCTTCAGTTGCATGGTGGGTAGGACTAGTAACTTGGACAATATAATTAATACTGTAGTGAGGCTAAGTCTGAAGGTCACCCAGCATGTGGCAGATATGGGATTACATGTAACTGGGTGGTAGGAATTCAGGAAGCGGAGTAATACCTGATTAAATTACATCATACTATTCCCATTTACAGTTGCAATTTAGTCATGAAAACTCAAAACACTTCTCAGATGTCTGAGAACGAAATTTCAGGAAAACCAGAAATACTTCCCAGAAGTCTGAAATCTCCTATTTCTTGTTTGAACACATGAACATAACATGTTCACAAATGACCAAAAGATATGTTATGTCTTCTTCCATTTTGAACACATCACTTTGTGGCCATCACAGGAGAGGGAGGATACCGCACCTTCAATCTGATGACACGTCACAGCCAGACCACCATGGTGCCGCAGTGTCTGCCGGGAATGACAAAGATGTGGGAGGGGTACAGTCTGCTTCACGGAGAGGGGAACGAGAGAGCTCATGGACAGGACCTTGGTAAAAACAATCATCAAAACACTTAGAGGAGATCACAATGATTTCAATTATGTATACATTGCTTGAGAACTTGCATCATGACTTTCTTGTACCAAGGAGGTACACAGCCAAGGTTTTCTCTCTTGCCAACATTTTTGTAGTCTACTCTCTCAGGATAATAATGACAGGAGCTTCTCCACACTTACAGGCAAACCTAAGTGACCAGCTCTACATAAGGACCACCTGCCAAAACATTATTTTTCCCATTATAATAACAGAAGCAATATGAATCCACTCTCTGGTCCTCTGTTTTTAGACTAGTTTTTAGGTCAGTTTTGACTGTACATCACTGCAGCAAAAAGCTAAATTTGTATGGTTTAATATTCATTGATATTCTAATGATAATTTGCAGGTACTGCCGGCTCCTGTGTGAGGGCCTTTGCTCCCATGCCCTTCATGTTCTGTGACATCAACTTCCAATGTCACTATGCCACTCGTGACGACAAGACCTACTGGTTATCCACTGTCTCAACGCGGGCTGAGATCCCAGACAGCCCGGTGCAGGGCATTGACGTCCTCCGTTTTATCTCCCGTTGCGTGGTGTGCGAGGTTCCATCTACCGTCATGGCGTTCCACAGTCAGAGCTCTGATATTCCCGACTGTCCCCTCCCCACACGGGACCATAGGTGGGAATCACTCTGGGAAGGATTCAGCTTCTTCATGGTATGACCCTCCATTGTTTTATGAGTTATGCTTGAAGGCTAGGCAGTACAGATGTTGGATTTCTTGTTAAACAGAAATATTATTTTGGGTCTGTTTGTCCAAACAGAATAGGTAGGTTGAAAATATGTGGCTGGGGGGAGATTGACAGGCAGAATAAAAGAAAATGGTGTTAAGTTTCATGTTCAGCTTTGGACTGCATAAACAGCCACTTGTTGTCCAAATGTGTATGTTAACAGCACATGGCTGGGAAGATTGACAGGCTGAATGACAGCAGCTCAAAGGTCTCTCTCAGAGCCAGTCATCAAGGGGGAATTCAGGAAGCCCAATACTGGATACTTCCTTGGAGTCTGAAATCTGTGATTTCTTGTTAACATCGATGTTTCCTTCCCCCAGCACACGGCTGCCGGAGAGGGGAGTGGTCAGATCTTCTCCAGCCCAGGCAGCTGTCTGGAGAGGTTCCGCCCCGCCCCCTTCATCGAGTGTCACGGAGCCCGGGGGACCTGCGGATTCTTCGCCAACAAGTTCAGCTTCTGGCTGGCGTCTGTTCCCAGGTACGTAACATTTACTTCCTTCATTGTGATCGATATGATAATCAGTGGTGTTGGTTACCATTAAATGATAATCATGACGTCTTTCCCTCACATGCTTGTTGTAGCTAGCAGTGTAGACTGCAGGCCTGACATGTATGCCTAAGGCCTGTTTGCCACTACTTCTCTGTGGTGTGAGGACCACCACACATCTTCTTTCTCTATGGTAACAAGAAATCTGAGAATTCAGACCTCCTATGACCTTTTGTGACCTTCAAGTTCACCCTGTTTCCTTTTCTGACATTTTTACCTGTCATTCTGCCTATTGAGCTTCCCACCCATGTGCTATCAACTTACTCTCAACTTCCCCCCATTTCCTGTGTCTGAAGTTTCGACCTGTCATTTTGCCTGTCAATCTTTCTCCACCCGCGTGCTGTCCACCTGTCTGGACAGACATATAAATTCACATCTTAGACACCCAAAACCATACTTCCGTCCCATGAGGTAACTAACCTGTTTCTCGTCTTTCAGAGATTACAACCCTGACCAGAACCGTGACCCGTACGAGCCGCGGGACGGGCCGTGTCAGGAGATGATCCGCACACAGACAGCGAGGACAGAGATGGAGAGGATGGTCGGCCGCTGCCGCGTCTGTATGCTGATAACCGACCAGATCGAGTACTCTATCAGAGAGGCCGGGCCCCAGATCGGTGCCGTGCCAGGTTACTACCCAAGACAGCCGCTAGGCTAAATAACTTCTCTGTAATCATGTAGCTCTCTCGTACATCTTTATAATCATTGTTAGGATATCGAGGGATTAGCAAACATCAATACCAGATTGTTCACTGAATTGTAGTGATTTTGTTTCCCTAGATTCCTTCCTGTACAAGTCTTAGTGATATCTTTAAAGGTCGAGGTACAACAGCATACAAAGAACCATGGTGATAAGTTTCATAGGACAAGTCACATGTTAGACAAGTGGTGCTATAAACCAAGGATACAAGTCAGTGACTGCCAAACCACCCTGAAAAAGTGTTATACACTTTAAGAATAGTCTATGAAGGTAAGGAATACAATACACAAATAGTCTTCCAAGCACAATATTACCTCCTAGTACAACACAGTATAGTCACATACACCTATTAAAAACCCTAAATAACTAAGTTAAATGTTCTTTGGGCTAAAAGAGATAACCCCAACAAATTATGATACCTTCCCAAGAACCCAATAACTTTGACTACTACAAATCCTTTCACCTTAATGTATAAAGTCACATACCTCAAGTTGTGGTCTTAATACTAGACTCTATAGCAAGCTTTGGCTTTTTTTTGCTTATTCTGTTTTTTTTTCCTGATTGTATAACCTCCTTGGTTATTCTGATGGCTGCTGATTTTCTGGCAACTGTTGGAAAACTGGTGGCTACCAGAATACCATATACAACAGTAAACAGAACATAATAACCAAAAATAAAGCCAGGATGAAGGAAGTAAATTTACCAACATTTTCATCCATACTAATGCTATGTTCTTGTACAAGTCTGTGATTTCATAGCATGTACAAAGGTCTTAATTCGAGGGAGTTGTTTTAATTACATTATCTCTTGTTTTATCCCAAAGAATGTGACATGGTGCTCCTCATAGCCTCTGAAAATACTGGTTCATTGCTAGGCTAGTTTTACAGGTTTCATCATTAAACATCTGTAGTTAGGGTGTAGTAGTTGTAGTTTTTCAAGCTTGTGTTGTTTCTTGAACTTTTGATTTTCTTTCTAAAGTAATAAAATGATTTTGTTGGATTCAATGGTCTGCAGATTTAACATATATTTTGCCAGTCTGTTTATTTTGGTTTGTATAATGCTACGTGTTTGAGATTAACTGTCCATGGTCTAAAAGGTTGAAAAAGGCAAAAAGAATCAACGAAAAGCTTTAAGTAACATTCAAACCGGACAAAAAAGGTTGAAAAAAGGCAAAAAATCAATAGGCCTGTCCTAATTAGTGCTGAACCACATTCACATACAAGAATGGGGTCTGTCCTTGGTGCTGAACGCACTATCCCAGGACGTAATGTGTATACGCGGGATTCCGAGCGATC